GGGAGCGAGGCCGGGCCGAGGAGCCGGACACCCGCGCGCCTCTCCAGCGCGCCTCCCGGCGGCCCGCGGTAGCGCCGAGCGTCGGAAGCGCCTCCGCTCAAACCGGTTTCAGCTGCTCCAGACCAAACTGCCAGGCCGGCCGCGGGGCGGGGCCTGACCTCACGCCCGGCGCCGTCTCGTCCAATCAACGGCCGCGCGCGGGAGGCGGGCTCGCACGTTCCTGGAAAGGGGCCGCGACGGCGGCCGACGGTGGCCGGGAATCCCCGGGCTCCCTCCGCCCGCGTTCTGCTGTGATCCCCACGCGGGGTCGTGAACTCCTACTGGGGTTTCCCCGAGCCGCCTTACGGACGGTAAAATGTGGAGGCTGAAGCTGCAAGTTTGAATTCCCATTTTCTCCCATTTGAAAACACAGACCCGGTGTGGAGATGCACACTACTAATCCCAGCACTGAGAAGCCAAAGCGGGAGGATCACCGAGCCCAGGCTGTAAAAATAAGCGAGAGAGACTATCGAAAAATAAAACGGTGGGACTTAGCTCAGTGTGAAGCACCAGGGCTCAATCCCCCGTAACCCCCCCCCCACACACACACACACACACGAGGCCTAATGTTTTCTGGAAACTTTTGAGGCCAAATAAAAAGCACACTTGGTTCAAATTATTAAAATTGAAAATAAGAGCCAGGCGTGATGGTGAGTGCCTGCAATCCCAGCACTCGGGAGACAGGCAGGAGGATGGCTGCAAATTCGAGGCCAGCCTGAGCTACATAGCGAGACCTGGTCTCAGAAAAAAAGCAAACAAAACATGCACACCACCCACCTCTATGGGAGATGGTGAGAGTCTCCCACAAAGAGAGCTCGAGCCCGAGTTGGTTTTACTATGCCTTCTTGAGAAGATGTTAGGCTTTGCTGAGCGCTTTCGATAGAGCTTCAGGTCTTATCAGACCAGTTTGTATTGGAGCTTGGATTCGATCCCAGGGCATTTCTGATGATGTCACCACTCCGTAAACAGGATGCAAGGTTTGGTTTGGTTTAGTTTAGTTTAGTTTGGTTTGAAGGGTGGGGTTCTGTTTTTGTTTCATTTTGGTGGTTCTTATTTTAATCTTAAATTCCTTAAAGAATTAAAGTTTCCTAGCCAGGCGTGGCGGCCCATGGCTGTAATCCCAGCCCTTAGGAGGTTGAGGCAGGAGGATCACTTCAAGTTTGAGGCCAGGCTGGGCTACAAAGTGAGTTCAAGCCCAGCCTAAACTGCATAGTGAAACTCTGTCTCAAAAAGGCTGGACATGGTGGCTCACCCCTGTAATCCAGGAGCCTGAGGCAGGAGGATCATTGCAAGTTCGAGGACATCCTGGGCTACAAAGTGAGCTTAAGGCCAGCCTGAACTGCATAAGATCAGCCTGAACTGCATAGCAAGACCCTGTCTCAAAAAGACAAAAAAAAAAAAAAATTAAAGTTTCCTCCTAATTATGTACCATTATCTGTTGAAATCTGCTATTGTACATTTCCTGATAGCTTGGAGTTAATTTCATTCCTCTGCTGTTAGTCAGACCTTGGGGATGACTTTTGTCTAAACAGTTTGTTCCCTTTAAATGTTTATAGTAGCTCTTTATTTTCCTGTCATCAGGGTTTTTCTTTTTCTTTTTTTTTCACTACTGAGGTTTAAAGGCTTCTCACTGAGCCACATCCATAGCCCCTTTTTTCTTTTTTGAATATTGAGACAGGTCTTGCTAAGCCACTAAGTTGTTCAGGCTGGGCTGAAAATTGTGATTCTCCTGCCTAGGACTCCCAGGGTGCTGGGATCACACACCGCACTGCCATGCTATGGCCTATAATCAACATTTAGTGAAGCTTTTAGTTGCCTAATGTTTACAGTTCAAGATGGTAGGCTTAATGGATGTTCCTTCCCTAAATCTTTCTGTGTGTGTGTCTTTTTGAGACAGGGTCTTGCTATGCAGTACGGGCTGGCCTTGAGCTCACTTTGTAGCCCACACTGGTCTTGAACTCACAACAATCCTCCAGCCTCACCCTCCCAAGTGCTGGGATTACAGGCCACGCCCAGTTCCTTCCCTAAATCTTGAAATGGCAGTTTTTTGGTTTTTTTTTTTCTTTTAGGCAGGATCTCACTATGTAGTTCAGACTGTCTTTGAACTCATTATCTACCTCAGGCTGGCCCTGAACTCACAGCAATCCCCCTGCCTCAGACTACCATATGTTCAGATAACAGGCATGCACCACCCCACCTGGCTTGAAATAACAGTTAACGTTGGCTGTCCATATTCTTCTGTTCCACACTGGCAGATTCAACCAACCACAGATCCAGATGTTCAGGAAAAAAATCTGCATCTGTACTAAGCAAGCACAGACTTCATCTGTACTAAATAAGCACAGCCGGGCATGGCGGCGCACGCCTGTTATCCCAACACTCGGGAGGCTGAGGCAAGAGGATCGTTGCAAGTTCAAGACCAGCCTGGGCTACAAAGTGAGCTCAAGGCCCACCTGAACTGCATAGCAAGACCCTGTCTCAAAAAGACAAAAAAAAAACAAAAAAAACAAAACAAGCACAGACTTCTTTTTTCTTTCCATCATTCACTAAATAATATGGTCTAATAGCTATGAACTTAGCACTTGCACTGTATTGGGTAATATAAGGAATCTAGCGATGATTTAAAATATAAGGGGGAAAAGTATAAGGGGGCTATGCATAACGTAAACACTATGCCATTTATATAAGGCCCTTTGAGAAAGGGTCTCACTATTCAGCCCTGGCTGGCCTTGAACAGACAGTGACCCTCCTGCCTCAGCCTCCCCAGCGCTGAGATCACAGGGGTGCCTATGCCACTGCTATTAATCCGACTAACAGAAAAGGAAACAAAGGCCATTGAGGCTGAATAATTTAGCTGGTTCAACTTGGCTTCCTGCTTGATACAAACCGCTAATACCTTTGGGATCTCAGTTTTATGGCTTATACGGTGCCAGCTTTAGAGTTTACAAAGCCGAGATACCATCTGCCTCATCAAAGGTAAGAACGCAACCGGGAAGGCGTCTCGAGTGAAACACCTGCTTAGAGAGAACAATGCCTTTGTTCACAGCGCTTTCCTGGCGCCGAGCACAAGAGCACAGACTCCCGGGGAAAGCGCCCGGGAGCTGCTCCGGCGCTGACCCTGGACAGCTCCCCGCCGCGCGCCCCCTCCTCGCCGGGGACTGGTTGCCGGCGGGGACCGGAACCGCAGGCGGCCACGGTGTGCTCGCTGTGCCCCAGAGCCCGTTCCGTCCCCGATTCCGACCCGGCCCGGACTCGCTCTTGGTATTTATCTCGGCGGCATCATCCAGAGCTCGGCGCTGCGGGTCCGCGCTCCCAGCTGTAATCTGTGCGAATTCCAGGAAGGCAAAACAGCCTCGGAGAAAGTCTTCCTATGTCAGCTGTTTCCGTCGGAGCCAGGCGACACAGTACACCGCGCACATCTTCCAGCCTTGATGTGACCCCCTTTTCTCTACTTTTTATAGATGCACGCTACTTGTTGTCCAAAACAGCCAGATCAATCATTTTTTTTAATTTTTATTTTTATCAGCACAAGATTACATTCAATACATTTTTATTATTTGCAGTGCAGGATTACATTCGCTGTGGGGAACTGGTTTACGTACATAACACATCTCAGTTCTTCTTACCGCTCCTCCTCCTCCCAAAGCAATACTTTTTATGAATAACCCACTCGGGCGTACTTGGGCCTTGGAGTAGCTGTTGCATTAGCCAGGTAATAGTTCTTCTATGGAGCTATGGTTTGTAAGAATGATCCACACAGAAGAATTAAGATTTCATCAAAGTCAGATTCCATCAGAGTATTGGGCCAGGCATGACGGTGCATGCCAATAATTCCAGTATTGTACCTGGGAGGCTCTGGCAGGAGGATCTAAAGTTTGAGTCCAATCTGGGCACCTTAGGGAGTGCCTGTCCCAAAATTTAAAAAATTTAGCCAGGTGTGGTGATACATACATGTAATCCCAGCCAATCTCAGGAAACTGAGGCAGGAAGGTTGGCTGTAGGGTCACCATTTGAGGCCAGCCTTGGCTACATAGTGAGTCCAAGGCCAGGCTTTACTACATAGTGAGACCCTGTCTCAAAAAGGAAAAAAAAAAGATACCCAGCTTAGTAGAGTTTTTGTTGCTGTTTTGTTGGTTTTTTGAGACAGGGTCTCACTATGTAGTGCAGGCTGGCCTTGAACTCACTGTGTAGCCCAGACTGGCCTCTTCACAGCAATCTTCCTGCCTCAGCCTCCTGAGTGCTGGGATTACAGGCATGTGCCATGCTCAGCAAGAACTCATTTTAATAATGAGTTTAACAAGTGGCTGTTTAACAAGTGGCTCACAAAATTTTAAATAAAC